GACACTATTTTTAAAATTTCTTTGTATATTTTCTTAATCACACTATATGGAAGCCCTTTTACACTGCATTTGATAAAAAACGTCTATTACAATCATATTCAACTGTAACATTAAGATTACATTAATTCTCAAATATCTTCTTAAACAATAAAATTAATTGTAATAATATCGATAATGATAGTAATAATAACAATAACAACAATGATAAAAGAACCATATCGGCAATATTTTTACATACTTGAAGTACAATTAAATGTCTAGTATTAAATGATGAGAGTTCCATTGCGTTGGATTCATTACATTATCTTTCTCGTTCGATATTGTTTTTAGTTTTATTGAATTATCATCATTCTTGTTTGCTCCTTTCTAAACTACATAAATTATATGTATATAATGCTTAAATTTATTCACAATAAGATAATTTAAAGATTTAGCCATTTTGGTGGCCCTTATGCATCTGTTTTCTCTGACTCTTTCTCTCCTCCCTCCTCTCCCCCCCCTCCTCTCTTCATTCTCTCTTTACGTGCGCATAATATTAATTTGCGTATACATATATGAACACGTATTATAAACAATTTTTTTTCATACCAATAATATGTCAGCTTTTTCATATACACCCATTCGATTCACCAAGAGGTAATTAATATATAGTTTTTCAAACCATATAACAATTATTATATTTTCTAATAGAATAAGTTTCTCTATAATCGTAATAGGACATATCGTTGTTCTTAAATAATTTTAATAATATTGGTAATCTATTATATCATAAATAATAGTTAAAATATAAAACGCACAGATTAAAGTAAATTTTCAATATTTATATGAAGTATTTAGATTTTAATTAATCCAATAGAAAAGATTGTAATACAATTTTCATATTCGTTAAATTACAAAAATAATATATAATGACAAACGTATACATGTTTTTACAAATATGATATTGAAAAGTAAATATCAGCTCAATTTGAGGCTTGTTTCTACAGTGGCTAATATTTATATTAATTTTTAGAGAAATTGCACGAGGAGAAAGAGAGTATGAGGATAAACGTCAGTTGTAAGTATGTATGGATGGTTTTGAACTTTGTATTATTTTTTCTTACTATTTAAGATTCTCGTGAATTAGCACACCAACTTAAGGCTTTTTGAATTTATGAGTAAGTTAAATAAAAAAGAATGAGAAAAATTTATACTCTGCAATAAATTAACACACATCTTTTTGCATTTCATACATTTTTCTCATTAATGTAATATTTTATATTTCACTTTTTTCATTGAATTATTCTTATATTTACGTATTGTTTTTTACAATAGCTTACAACTTTTTATTACATAACCTATGTTTTTAATTTTTTGTATATTAACGCGTATATATATATATATATATATATATATGTACGCACACGTATATATTATGTGTATTTATATTTAATTACATCTTTGACTTTTGGAAGACATTATTTTATAAACCCACTTTATTGTGTTCTACATAAGAAATTAAGAAGTCGCTAGTTATCAATATCACTGCAAACATATATATATATATATATATATATATATATATATATTTATAAAAATGGATACGACATTATTTTCTATAAATTGGCAATCAAAGAAGATTGTTTTATAGAATAGAGTAAGTAGTCTATTTTATATTATTAACCATGTAAAAGCAATATTTTTCAAATAATATTAAACATTGATAATAAGATGAAAGACTTAACATAAATTTTTAATATAAACATTAATAATAATAGCATTCATATTACAATTATACAATATAATGTTATTACATGCTAATATAGAATTATTTACTTAACAGTACAGCAAATTCAATCCCATAATATGCTTAACAAAGCACAAAAATATTAATAAATACTCTTCTATTTCTAGGAAAACATTATTTTATACACCATATACGGAGTAATAAATTTCTTCTTTATGAAATTTTTAAATAAAACAATTTTATAATAAAATGTACGATAATTTAAAAGCCATAACATAGTCAAGATAATTATTCCTTTAAGATATAAACTATTAAATTGTTAACGCTGCAGGTCAATTTAAACTTGTGTATAAATATAGTTAATCAAATCGATAATATTTTCATCATTACGGCTTAATGTAATTTTTCGCACGTATACACGTACGTTTGTCAATAGACTGGAAGACTTGGAATCAGTTTGTATTTCTAATTACGTTCAATTAATTTTTCTTATTAATAGGACGATTCTTTAGGTCTACGTCAATCTTCGATGCTTATAATGTATTTTTAATTAATACATATATGTGTATAAGTGCATTATTAAAGGCTTTTAATAAGCATCATCGAATATTTATTTAAAATTTATACATGTAAATATTGCAATCTTTTTAATTGCAGTTAACGACTTTATAACTTCACTACGATAAATGATACATAGATATGTTATAAATATATGCAACATTATTTAATATACTAAGTCAATTACAAAAAATATTGAGCTACAAGTTGTGCTAACGAAGTATATAGTTCTTGAAAAAATATTTCAAGAGCAATTATACCTTTTTATTGAGACTTTATGGTATTTTTTATTTGTAACAAACAAGATATAATTTATAATTCACGCGGATCGCAATTATTAAAAACATCTCAATATAAATATAAAATTAACAATTTAACTTTTATGATAGTAAATCCTATATTATCCGTAGTGTGTTATGTGCATTATAATTTTATGGAAGTTCTTATTGACATTTAATTATTATATTAATAAAAATAATTGAATCTAGTTGATTTTTTCAAACATTCGACGTAAAATATTAATAAGAAAGAGTATTAATTGCTGTATAAAGAAAATTATTTAAAATTATTTTATAATTCACGCAGTAATCTCGCATTCTTTCAAATTCCAACGGACTCAATGATTTTCACAATGTCATTTATCATATTGTCTAATATATTTCTTCTTCCTTCAAAATTTACTTTATTATTCTTATCTGTTAACTCTATCGATAAGTTTTTCAATAATAAAGGTGCATATGCATTTTCTCTTTTAAATTGAATTTTTCCTTAATTACTTTGATAATGCTCTCTAGTAATGGAAGACGACGATTTATCAATACTTATAGTTTCATTTTTTTTTCTTCTTTTTTTCTCTCTATATTGTCACGTTTATTGCGCGAGATCTAAATAGCTAAGTCTCATTAAACTCTATTGTTTATTTCAATTTATTAGTTCCATAATCAAACTATCGTATTAGAAGAGATACTCTTCTAGTGGAAGACAATAATGTAGAATCGAAATACGCCGCTTAAGGAGCACTCAACTCCATTCTATTCTTGCTGCTCGATGCAACTATTACGCGATTTCATATTATTCTTACTTATATTTCGACTAATTGAATTCACGAATCAATATTATTATTCGAATGTTGTTTTCAGACAATTAAATCCGCCTATATATCCGTGAAATATAAATTCATTTATTAATGTTAGTTTACGTACCGAATAATCTACGTATAAGTTTCTCAGTATAATGCATTTTGTTTTCACTTTTTTTCTTGCTGTGATTTTTTCATTCATCATTCATGCGTCACGAAGAAACAGTCAAGCATAAATCGATCGATCAACTTTCACAGCTAATTTTCTGAAGGTCTGCTATGTGTGTACATAGTCTAAAGTGACGAACAAAACTAGCCGATAATGTATTATCTCGCATATCAATCACTGTACATTCGTAACACACCAATTATTTGACCAGAAGTTAGGATATTTAAAAATTGCTCACTTTTGACAATTTGAATTGACGTAAATTGTTATTTCCCTCCCATTTATTATCTGGCTTATCAGAGAAAAGAATGTTATTTTTAGCGGTTAATTGAATTCAATACTTTAGTATAAATTAAACATTTTTATAAAAAATATTGAGATACATATTAAGATTCATTCAGTTGTAGTTTTAATATCAAATCGAAATACTTTTAATTATTACACTGACTGTCTAATAATTAAGTATATTACTTTTATTGATATGTTTTGTTTTTGTTGAGAAAATTATTTAAAAATTTTTAAAAGCTAGTATTTATCCGAAAAAAAGACTTCAACAATAATACTCTTTTCAAGTTTTACAATACATTCAACTGTTTTCGATTTATGCACCACAAATAGCAACTAGTCATGGAAATATAATGATTTTTCCGCACAAGTATATTGTTATATAAATACCTATTGACGGAAATTGCAATTTGAAGAATTTTTCTTGATTTCCATCATGTAAACATTTATTAAAAAAAAAAAAAAAAAAATATATATATATATATATATATATATATATATTAGTACTGAGCCGCTAATCGAAAATATCTGCAACAATTATATTTGAAATATAAATGTTAAATATTTAATGAAACGTTTAACATTTTCTTACGTATAAGTTTCCTCGATTTTTAAAGGTCCTTTAGTCAATAGACTGGAAGACATTGGATTATTTTTCTCCTTTATCACAATAAGCATTATATCAATGTTATCATTACGAATGAAAACAATATGTAAATTGAACTATTTAATGAATTATTTAAATGAATTTTAAACCATATTTCACCCATTTATACTTTCTTTGTACTATTGGCTTGTGCGCAGTTAACATTACAGCACATTTAAAATAATTAAAATGTTTTTATCGTACTTTACAAACGTTGCCCCAATCATTAATTACCATAAATCAGAGCTTATCCTTATTATCTCTAGGTAAAAATATTTTATACTTTTAATTGATGAATACTAGGACCAACGTTATTAAATAGCGACTCAGACTAATGTGCCAATTCAATATTTTCAAGCAATTTTAACGTGACTGTTTTACACGATAATATGCAATAATTGCTTGTTTACGTCAGGCCGATGCCGCCATAACTTCAGACAGTAAAATTCATATCCAATTGGCCTAATCGCTCGTCACGAGTACGAAAACCTTGAATCGCTCGGTTGCATCGCTGAAATACACGCGGCGTTGGGTGTGATTGGCCGATATGGAGGAGGTGCTCGGCCACGTTAAGCGAGGTCACGTTCACGTTCACGACAGCTCTTCAGCAGGGGCTAATAAAGTAAGCGTCTTGGTTTTCATAAACGGCGCGGCGGTAGAAAAATTTCGCAAATACGAAGGCCATGAGCGTGTGTCGGTGGTGCGAGGCCGACTGAAATGAAAGCGAGCGCGGGCGGATAAGCCGACGGCGAGGGGCGACTTCAAATTGGCGAATTTATATAGGCAGGCCGAAGGCGTCGATCAGGGCCTTCCCGGAGTCGTACATTCCGATGACGCCGAAGAGTAGCCCGAGGAATATGACGAAGCAGTCGTAGGCGACGGCGGTTGGCTCCATGGAGTTGCGCTTGAGCTTTAGGTGGAAGTAGCACGGCCAGATGAACGACAGCATTGTGCCGGTGAAGGAGCCAATGAAGCCCATGAGGATACTGAAGTGCGGTATGAAAATGGCCATGAGGATGGTGAAGAGGATGACGCCGACGCGCCACGCTAAACCCCAGACCTTGAGCTCCCGGTCGAGGGTCCAGATCGTCGGGAAGATGGTCTTGGGCCTGCCTCGGAAGAGGACGCGCTCGAGGAGCTCGCAGGCCGCGTAGTAGGGCAACGGGTAGGACAGCAGGGCCTTTATTACCAGGCAAGAGTTTACCAGATCCTTGAAGCCGACCGAGTGCAAGTTGTTCGTTATTTCCTGAAAGTGAGAAATGAGGCCAATGTCACATCTCCATTACCCACTCGCGTTCCATTCCCATCGCATTCACTCGTAATTTGACGTTTCTCTAGATGATTTCTGGAACGATGACTTCCCGAAAGTATGAATGATAATATAAGATCTATTTCATATGGGCCTGATACAAGATATTAATAACATAAATATTAAAACCGAGAACAAAGTGACGTTTCTGTATAGCGAATGTTTGTCACTTTATTTTTAGATTATATTGATGAATATTATAAATTATAGCGTTGCAGACGTTAATGCAATTAATCCAAATTATGAATCCATATGATTATGTAATATTATGAGATGACAAAAAAAAAAAAAAGAAAAAAACAAAAATTTACCTACGAAATCATTAAATTATTACACGTAAGAATGATGAGAATGCGAGGCGAAGAAACTTTTTATATTATATATAAAATACAATGTATTTATGCTCTTCGCAACATTGCAAGATTACGAATACGTTGATTACAATTTTTACTCCAAACGACGATTTGACTGACTGAATGATTTTTAAGATTTTAAGTTTTAAGATCAGTCATCGCTTGTCGCTCAAGAAGCTCGAGATTAAAATCATTAATTCGCCCGTAATATGATAAGCTTTTTTTTTTATAGAACTTCAACTTTATCAATGATTAACAACACTTGAATTATTTCCATTATCCGGAACAACGTCTGCACATCTCGCGCCATTCTCCAGCCAATGCAAGAAGCGAATAAAGCACGTCATTCTAAATTCACATCATTAATTGATCATAAACAAATTTGCCTACCTGTTGCGTGTCGTTCTGGAAGGTCAGGAAGCAAACCCAACCAAAAATTGACTTGAATGCTGCGGCGGCAATGTGACTCCAGTTCAACATCCAGTCGAATTTACTGCGATCGATGAGATTACCTTCGAGCGTCGGTAAGAATATTTGCGACGTGTAACTAAAGACGATAACACCAAGTGATATCGGAAATTTCTCCATGTCGATGCTCCACTTGACCTTCGCCCATCCCCAATCCCCAATCTCTAGAATGCAGTAGCCGATTATGACGGCATTAATGAACAAATGGGCAATCGTGCACCAGAAGCTCAGCAGCGATACGTGATGCAGCGATTTAAGGAAACCGAGCGGCATCAGGAAAATGCCGATTAGCTGCGAACAAAATGAGCACGATAATCGCACACGGACAATCCTTATCTATCGACGATCGTCGATAAGGGGCCTGAGTATTTGGCACATTCGGCAACTTTCAATTCTCTTAATGGGCTCTAAATGGACTTTGGGACTATAAATTTTGACGCGCGCTACGATGCTCGACGAGTTGCCCAAGCCATCCGTCCATTCAACCATAAAGCTTAACATTTTACAATTAAGCTCAAAATCCAACGTCACGTCGCATTCGCATAAACGCACGCTTAAGCGCAAACTTATCCGTATCACCAGTTTCGTTAACGATTCGTTCAGAGTTTCGTGTTCTAGCGTAAAGGCTCGGGCTAACTTACTTCGATCAACACCAATGGAGCAAGAAATTTTGATAATGACAACGATAAATGATGACTGATTATTGCCCATTACCCGCGAGAATTCTCAATCTTACAGGCGCTCTACTGACAATTGACCTTCTCGGTACAATCCGAATATTACAGGACCCCTCGGAATCGCTCAATTACCGAGCTCAAAGTCGAGCATTCGTCCCCTCGCCCTCGAAATTTCGGCCAGCCGCCCTACCATCATCCAGCTCCTCGAGTCCAGCGAGTCCTCCGGGAAGCTGCCGACCATCAAGTCGCCGCAGACGACAACGTAGAGGATGCAAGTCATGAGGAGCTCGATTATCTGAGCTATGTTGACGACCCGGGCGCCGACTCGCGGCCCAAAGCATTCCTTGGCGATGGCGACGTAAGAGTCGCGCACTCGTACTCGTTGGCCCGTGACCGCGTCCAGCTCGTACAGGCATTCGATCAGGATCTTACCGGTGTAGCAGCAAATGTGGGCGATGCCGATCATCGCGGCGATTGCCCAGTAGCCGCCGTGCAGCACTGCGAACGGCAGCGATACGATGAACATACCCTGTGCAATTGTTCAAAAAAAAAAAGAAAAAAAAAGAAAAAAAAAAGAGAAAAGAAAAACAATCAATAAATAGATAAAAAAAAAACACTTAAGATTTACCGAGACGCTGCTTTAATTAATCGTTTTTCATTTCGTAGAACGAGCATTGGGAACATTTAGCGGTGATTGACTTCCCATTAATCTATCTTAATTTCCATTCCGACGTGCCAATCACTTTTATTTTTCATTAATTAGATCGACTGGATCTATTTTCTCAGACAGGTACCAAGCCAAAGTCCGTATAGAATCCCTAGCCGAACGATTCATTCGCTCGATCTTGTTTGATCGTAAGATACTCGACGTCATATTTAAGTAAACTTTAAAATAATTTTTCATAAATTAATATCAACGCTACACCTGCGTTACATTACATTTTATTTAAAATGAAAAACTAAAAATCAATAAAAAATTTTCACAAACTTACACGTATAGTGAAACGAATAGCAATTAATGAGGAGGTGAAAAGTTCCTACTCAGAACATTATTACATTTTATTAGAGAGAATAATCGTTTTAGCATTGTTTCATTGAATAAAGAAATATAACGTACAGCGATAAGCGCGAATTTTAAAAAATTCAATTGCATTTTAATTCATTATAACACTTAAAAATTATTTCTAATCATATAAGTGGGTTTTATAAAATTTTATCTATACATATGTATTTATTATTAAATGCTATCTATTGAAAATTTACGCTTATGTGTATTTATTTTTATATAAATTTTATACTCTACACATGCGTAATAATGTATAGGATTAACGTAATGAAATAAACGATTCGTATAACTATGAAATTGAGATAATTAATGGGAAATACTTTGCACAAATTTTCTTCAATGATATAATTGAACATGATCGTTGTGCAATATTATTTACCTGGATAGCATTGGTGACATTGTAAGCTGCCTGCCATTCGTTAATCTTGACACCTGAGCCAAATTCACCTCCCCCTTCGTCGTATTCACTGAAACTACTACTAACGCTTCCGGTTCTGATTTTTTCCCTAGAAAGTCAAATAATGTTTTTTCATATAATGAATCGATGAAACTATTGTTAAATATAATTATACTGATAAATAATTGTAGTCTTACTTAATATTTTACATTTCAAGGTCACGTGACTATTGAATACTTTTCAACTATTGAATACTTTTCTTTCATTTTACAATAAATTGTTTATCTATAATAGATGATTTATTATCTCTCTTTATGCTCATACAGAAGGATTCTGTACACGCGATCACATAGACAGAGAGAGAGAGAGAGAGAGAGAGAGAGAGAGAGAGAGATTTATGCATTCTTACTTTGTCATGCATATAAACAATCTATTATACTATTATATTATACATTATGACAAACACAAGCAGTTAATCTAAATTTTTTTTCATAAAATAATAGATAAAATAATTAAGCACTGTAATAGAATAAAGAATATATATTTTGATAATGAAGGTTCATATATAATTTATTTTATTTTATATAAAAATTAAGTTTTTACTTGAATTCAAAAAGATGAATAAAAAATATATATATATATATATATATATATATATGTAAACAATGATATATTTATAACATTATTTAAAAACATTATTTATTACACATAATTATACAATTATATTATAATTATATACAATCATTAATAGTAAAAAAAAATTTATAAAATTATATCGGAATAAAATTAACTTACATAAGTTAATAAGAGATTAAATTAATCGAATCATTCAATCTGAACGAAAAAAGTTTTCTTAAATAATATGGGTTATATTTTAAAAAGAAACATTAACTTTCTATACAGAATATGAGTTAAGATTGTATAAATAATTACTACAATAAATATCAGGATTAATTTAAAAATCAAATCATGCATCGTTTGAAAACACAAAATTTTAATTTTTTCAAATTATGTTTTCAAATATAATCGAATTATTTTTATCGATGAAATACACATATTTCTATTTTAAATGGCCATAAATTACGTTATAGCCTTAAAATAAAATTTATCAACAGAAGCATTCAAGCAGTTAAAATAAAAAAACTGTGCTAATTTCTAAGTCTCGAGCAAAAGAAGATGCAGGTCTACATGCTCGAAAGTGATATCGAAGAGTATTTGCACTTTCCGAGACACGTGGTGACACACGCGCTAAGCCAACGGTCAGGAAGTGCGAGATAACGTACATGCAACAGCTTAATAATCCAAGTGATTCTCGCGCTCTCTCACCCATTTCTCTGGTAGCTGAAAGAGTCCTCGGCCATAGTTACGTGCTTTTGATCCCCGAACGAGCTGTCGGCGCCGTTGTTGAGGGTCGTCATTTCAGCCCCGTCGACGCCTTCCCGGTATTCGTCGCACTGGCCGCGAGATTCTTTAGTATTTGAGCCCCTTACCAGTTCCATGCAGGGGCTATTTTCCGGCCACGTGGCCTTGAGTGTCGCCCAGGCAACGTTGAACATCGCGCCCAACGATGGCACGTAAAAACCCCGGAAGTAGGCCATCTCCTCTCGTTAGATCTGCGCTTCAACCAAGTCCATTGCTTTTTATTGTTGCTCTTTCGTTTATCACGATAGTGTAGCTCGTGAAATTCGATACTTTTTTTCTTTTTAATTATCGTTACGCGAGTCATGCTTTATATATGTTTAGTTTTTAATTATGATATGTGAATAGAGGTAGTCTCATAAGATTCTAATTGTCTTACTCGATATATGTTTTTTGAAGTTATTGAATAGATCTATTGATGAGCGAATTCAAACAAATTAACAGCTCTTTTAATTTTGTTGCCAATGTCTGATATGGTAATACTTTAGTAAAGAAAATTTTATCCGAGAAGGATTTGTTTCATATTAAAGCATTATATAAAATGCATCGGTTTCGAGCTGAAAATTATGCAATAAAAATGTTAGATTTGATTGGAAACGTTAAAGTCGAGAAAAGTAAAACAGTCTCTTAAATTGATAATTGTTTTTCAAATATTTGTGAAACTCGTAACTTTTTCACACTTGGAGCAAAAAATTTGTCACTCATAACTAGGCTTTATCGATGACATATTCGTTATGTCCTCGAGCAAACATTGATTTTTTGAAGAGAAAAAAAAGAGTATAACTGAAAAACGTCCATCAATGTTAACTGGAGCATCGGTCAGAGCTTCAACGAGATCTCGGTGAATTTTTTTCCTCGAGTAGTTCTAGTCCCGCTTTGGTCGTCCACTTTTCGCAACTTTTGGACGACTCAACGAGAATCTAGAAACACCAACTCATAATCGCCATGCACAGGATGGGAATTACGAAGGAAAGGGAGATAGATAGAGGGTACAACGATAGAGACACAGAGAGAGACACACACAGAGAGAGAGAGAGAGAGAGAGACAGAGTGAGAGAGAGAGAGAGACAGAGTGAGAGAGAGAGTGAGAGAGAGAGAGAGCGTGTCTGTGTGTATGCGCGCGTTTGTGTGTGAAAGAGAGGAAAAACGGCAGCGTGACTCACGGGACTTTTAATTTCGCAGCGAATCGATCACGTTGAGACCCCTGGATCGTGTTTTTTGGCTGGAGAATGATCCACTTGGGGTACTCGCGAGTGCCTCTGTTACGAAAGAGGTCCACACTGCGCGCAGCCTCCGAGCGACGCGAGGGACGTCAATGGAAAGTGAAGGATGGTAATGGACCGGGACTGGCGGGAAGCTGGAATTAACGATGAAGCCGTTGCTTCTTCGTCGTCCTCGATGGCTGCACAAGTTCCAGATATATTGGCTTTCCTCGTCGATGAAAGAGGAAGAGATGGAGATAAAAGAGGAGGACGTCACTTTAATCCCGAAACCCGCGTCGACTCGTTTCACGGGGGCGTCGCCGCTCGAAATGTGTGACCGTGCGCGCAGAATTAATGTCAGCGGCGCCGACGGCCAGCATCCCCTGGTTACACGGGGACGATCGATGCGCGCTCAGGCCTTCGCTTCTTTATTCGTAACATGCGCGCGTCTTTTCGGATATCCCTCTCTCTCTCTTTCTTTCACCCTGAGCCTCTCTTTGACTCTGCGCACTCATTATATTCAGCTGGACAGATATCCCCCCGCCGTGTAGACTATCCTTCACTCAATCTTAAATTTACAATCTTAAATTATTCTTTCTCTATATTTTATATGTTTCAACGTTATGAAATGTAATTTGAAATTGGCTCAATTTATTGATTCTTAATTAACAAAAAATTGTTGCTCGTTTTTAATACATAAAACTTCTTTTTTTTTTTTTTTTTTTTTTTTTTTAATAAGGCATAATCAATAATATCGTGGCATAAATTGTTTTTCACCTACATTGAATATTTCAATTTTTCGATCTCTTATGACATTCTTTATATTCGAAAAAAAGTAAGATTTCATTCGAAATAATAAATTATGCTTTTTATATAATTATTTTTCTACATAAAATGGCATTTAAACAAATAATGTGAGCCTTTTTTTTAATATAAAAAGACTTTAGTTGACAATAAAATTAGGAATTTATTAATATATATGGAAACCGATAACTGTAGCATTGCACGAAGCTCATTTTGGGTTTCCATTTAGAGTTCAAAACCAATCCGATTCCATAACATTTTTCATAAGGATATTATATCTTAAAATTTATTCAATTTTAATTGCACCATAAATATATTATTTTAATATGGCATCGAATAAGAAAAAGAGGATTTATATTGAATCTATTATTTCTACTTATATTGAATAATTTTACATAAAATTTAAATAGAACTTTGAAATGGCATGTGAAAAGTGAGATGAACTTACTTTATTTAGTAATCTTTTGTGTTTTATATAAGACTATCTTTCATTATTTTCATTAATAAATAGATAATTAATATTTTTACTACACCCCTCCCGTGCGCGCGCGCACACATACACACACGCACGCACGCACGCACCCACGCATATATATGAATTATATTTTTATTTCATTAAAACCGATATAAATTCCATTATAAACTCACTCGAGGAGATGTTAAAATACTTTATCACTCGTTTAAAAATAAATGTTGCCATATTAGAATATTTATTAATTATTATTGTATTAATTTATCTATATCGATTATTATTGTTATTATTTTTGCCTCGTTGTATAATATTAGTAATACTGTTCTGATTTTATTTTTATTGAAAGAAAAAGTGTTAAAGAATGTTTGCTTTGATTAAATCCTCATTTAGAAGATGTATATTAAGAATTTAAAGAAGGAGTTATTAATATAATTTGTCATAACTTGGCGGTACGAATATCCCATAACGATTCATTGGCATTTGAAAGACCACTTTGACTTACAGAATATTCTTATATCTTGAATTTAAAGCTTTATGCTACTAGGAATAAAATAATGCATTATTTAATTAATAATATAACATTTCAGTTTATTTAACAGTTAAGCTAAGCTAAGTTCACGTATTAATCCGAACAGTCAATTTATTTGAATGTAAAAAAACTGTTTGTTTTTTCACGCTTTGAAAGTTTAATATTTTTTAAGAATATGTACAACAAGTTTTAAAAGCGAATTCGAAAAAAAACATCGAATTAAATTAATCGATTATAAATGCGCTTAGATTACATATCTATTTATACAATTAATTAACAATATAAACCTGCAAAATAACAATTGGTGCTTCAAAATATTTGTTTTAAAAAATCGCTCGAAAGATAACATTCAATTAAATATCCATATTGACTTTATCTTCTTACTTGACTCTTCGTGTACTCATCAATTTAAATGAAATCGCACAAGTCTTACAGCACTATTAATTATTCGTCAATGTAGCTTGAGCAGCGCATTTTTTTACTTGCGCGCGGTACATATTCACCAAGTCCCGAAGGTCGATGTAAGTGAAGTAGTGACTCCTACGGAAAACAAATTGAACTAAATGAAATAATGATTCAAAATCATATTTCCTACAGCTATAAGTATTAATTATTTCTCTCTCTCTCTCTCTCTCTCTCTCTCTCTCTCTCTCTCTCTCTATTCATTAGACAGTTGTTGTAATATCATTGTCGATATATATCAAATTGTTCATAAATCTTTTCAATTGTGAAGGATTTATATGTACTAAGAGTTTCTTTCATTACAAATTTCATTTCTTTTTAATATTATGGAAATCTAATGATTAATTTTCTCATTTGAATTTATTACGCAAAAAATACTTTGCTCTATTGATACGTTTTCAAAGAATCTTTATTCACCTATTGCTCTTAAGAATATTGCATATATTTATTGAATGTGGATTTGCTATTAATTATAAATAAATAATAAATGGATATTAGAATTCGTACATAAATGTTTGAAACGATTTTAATTCTATTATTATATCAAATAGAAATTAATTTATGGAACGAAAAGTTTAAATAAACATTTTTTATATTACAATATGTTTGCATGTAAATAATATGTTTTAATTATTCGTAATTTTATGTCAATTAAAATTTTTTTTTTATTTTTATTAAAATCTCTTGTATAAACATAATCAATTAAATATCATAGAGAAAACAAATTATTTTATATATTTCTATACATATATGGAAAATATGAGGTCAAACTTTGTTTTCACATTTATAATTCATATTATTTAAATAAATTATTTTCTTTCTACGAATTGTTATATTTACATCGAAAAACAACAGAAATGTATAATTGCAGTTTTTTTTTTTTTTTATTTTCAAATATGATTCATAGTAATAGTCTTTTAATTACTTGTATACTGATATTTTGATATAAAATTATAAAACGTTTTTAATAAAACAGTGATTGTACAGATAATCGCAAAGGAAACATCATAAAATAAATATAATTTAGATACATTAGGAATGAAATAAAATAAAATACATATGATAAGATTAACATGGGTTGGCATAAAACAATATATTATTAAGTATCCGCGAATGATTTAATCGTCGATAGACAAAGTTTCCTTGTATATTAACAATTATAGTCTCAAATAGATAGTGAATTATTTATTCAAATACAAAAGCCTTATTAATTAATTATATTCGAGTCTATTTAAGTTTAATAATTGTTTATATTTCTTATAATTATAGCCATTTTATCGAATGTTTTCTTGTAATGTTATAATCACTATAAGTAAAATAAATATATATTATGGTGTTTAATTTCAATTTATAGATTACAATTGAATTGTAACTTTATTCACATTCTAAGTTTAATACTAAAATTTATAAACTGTATTAAAAAAATATACTTTAATTTTTGGAAAAATAGTAGGGTTGCTTATCATAGAAGAAATAATTTTTAATGAATAAAAAACTTCTTTATTTATTTCCTAACTTATTTTACAATTTATTATAATAGTAAGAATAAATTTTCATTTTATTTGCCCTTAAAATAGGTTTTTATTCAATAATTTTGTGTATTCAACTTTTATTTTAATATTGTGAAATTACGAGAAATATTTTATTACATTTTGTTTATTGTATTTTTTTAAACTGAAAAATATTTTATGATTTAAGAACAATTTAAGTATCGTCATTATGATCTGTCATTAAACTACGACAGTATAGTAAATAAATTATTAACAATAGAGTAATAATAATATTAACTTTTTATTTTAACAACATAAATTTTCTCCTCTACACCATTAAACGCTTATATTAAGTTTTTTTTTTTTTTTTTTTACATTCAACACAAAAGATAAATTTAAAATATAAAGTATATTTTGGATTGATTTGGCATTTTATTTATATATTTCTAAATCATATTTCTTTGAATATTTATTTGTACGCCATCTCATGGTAAATATATAGAAGCAAAGACTTCGAAAATTTATTAAAACAATTCATTTTAATACGTGTGATTCTCAGTCTTCTGTTCTTTCTTATTTATTACGTAGATAATAAGTTTTACGTAATTTAACAAGAAAGAATGCTAAAGTAAATGCCAATATAAAGAAATCTTATACTCAAAATAGATGTAGACTAAATAAAAATAAATGACAAGAAATAAAATACTAGAAACTAAAAGACAGTAAAATATATGCAATTATCAATTATATTTCTTTAAAAATAAAAAAAATAAAAAAAAATAAAAAAAGAAAGAAAGAAAAAAAAGGCGAATTAATTTATATTTCATTTTAATATATTTATAATATTAAATGGAAAAAAGTTCTTACGCATATTATTGGTCTTTTTTATTGTGTATTATTTCACATCCCTATTTAAAAATTAATTGAACAGATTGCATGTTTGCATAGAAGAGAAAATTAATTGAACTTCTTTTTATTTTTTCAAACATTCGAATTCTTTACATTAAAAACTATTTTTGCTTTGTTATAATCTAGTCGGCTCTCATATATCTTGTTATCTCTTTATCTAACAAACAAGAACGAGTATAATCAATCAGCCGCAGAAAGTTGCACAAAAATAATCAACGTCAACGATATTAAATCTATTATACTATGCTGTTACGAATATAAAGTGTAGTTTATTCTTCTTAAAGAAAAAACAAAAGAAGAAAACATTACTTATTTAGAATTGAAAGAGAAGAGAAGACGTTTCGTAATTCGATGTCGATAATCGGCCCTAATTTAAATCTGCGGCATCATTCGCATTCCTAAATCTTAAATCTCTATCATAATCCAGATATCCGTTAGATCGGGTCGTCAGACTACGGAGTTCATCAACCTTTACATCGATGATTGTCCATGGTTGATTTGAAACGATTCGTTAGGTAGATTCTTACCGAAGACGATACTCGACTTCCAAAATAGTGGAAGCCCGTGATACACATTCATTTCACTAATATTTCTTGGAATTCCTCTTTATTATCATTATCAAACCATGAATGGGCAAATTATGCGAGATATAGGCGGTCTATTCTTAACGTATTTCAACAATTCACAAAAAAATAAGAGTCCTAAACGTTAGCACACTCATTTACTAGCTTCTTATCATCAATCTCTATCTAATATTCTTTTCCTAAATGGCTTAGCTAATCCAATAATCGTTGTTGATATCTTTATATTAATCGAATATGTTCTCCTGCTGACAATTTACAATCGAAGAAAAATATTACTATTCCAATCTGATATTGTTTAACGATACGGAGCTCCAAAAGATTATGTCACAATGTGGGATAAACCAGAACCTTCTCACTATAATCCTGTCATTGATTATGATTCCTCTATCCTTTTCATATCCGAATCTTAATCCTTTCTTAAATTACTCAAATAAGTTCGAATTCTCGACTCTTATCGAATATCTTAATTAATTAAAAGAAACAATTTTTGTCAATGATATTCTTCTGAGTCATCAACGAAGCTAATCAGCATTCGTTAACGCAGCGTTAAAACAATCGTAATGATATATTGAAATTAATTTAATCGGTGACTAGTGCATTTTCAGAAGCAACTAACTACCACTAGCAAACTTATTTATGATGTTGGTAGCTAAATATAAAATTAGTATCCCACAATCGTTTATGGTACTTTGGCTGATAATAATAGTATTCTAGACGGCATAGAACTGGAATTTTGATTAACAAATACAAAGAGTATATTACCAAGTACTTATGACGTGACCAAAGCTTTATAAACTTAAGATATTCATCCAACGATACCCTTAACTGTATTGCAGATACTGTCAATTCTTAATGGTTTTATTAAAAATTAATATAGTCTTTAAAATAAATATTACGATCGATGATTTATTACATAAAATCGTTTGTATATACGACACTATTATATCATTATCTCGTGAAATGAAAAAATATTTCTATTTAAAAGCTTCAGGTTCATCGAGTTTTGCTTTCTCTTAAAGTTTCTTCTAGATTAATTAGTTTAAAGATATTTGCAAATATAATAAAAGCGACAGCTGTATGAAAAATCACAAAAATCACAAAAATTACAATAATATAAAATATTCTTAATTTTAAAGGGTTAAAGTAAAACAAACAAACAAATAAACAAAAATAAAAAAAAAAATATGACGATATTATATTAATTTTGAAAAAAGTTGAATATACTTTTTAAGGAATCTTATTGTTGTGTTAGTGAATAGGATGATGTACGTCAGATATTTTATCAACTCTTATTCTTCGCATTTCATTCATATATTATTATTTTGATAAAAAAATCTTTAAATATAAATCAATAAGTAGTGCGTATAAAAAATCTTTTGTAAAAATTGTCATTGCTCAAAGAATCACAAATACTTGTGATTTGTCATTTTGTCAAATATTTATCTAAGGACAATGGTATTACTTAAAATGCAACAAATCTATTATAAAGTAAAATATTCTACTCTAAACTTTGTAAATAATAAATTCACCTTCAATCCACGTAAGTAAAGAATATTTTTAAAAAATTACAAAACACTACTATTGATAAAACAAAAGAATAAAATAGAATTCTTTTAGCCGTTGCTATCATTCGCTGTTTGTTGAACATCAACATTCGCCATTGAATTATTCTCTATTACTGAATTGCTTTCCTGCAATGATATCGACTCAGTACTTTCAGAGACAATTACTTGTTTCGATTTAGCATCCAAGTGGTTAAATTTTATATTCTGTTCCACGAGGGTTGCATTTGTAGTGGAATGTATGGGAATAGTAGTGTGCGGAGGCACCTGCCGTTGGCATGAATGCAATATCACCTCCGGACCTCCTCCGTAAGTTTTTACAAAGAACTGCCAATGTTCTTCTATCACTAAACTGTAGTCGGAATCTAGTAAAGAACAAAAGAAAAATAAGAAAACAAAAAAAAAAAAATTTAACAATAAAATAAGAGAATATTTTAGATTAAAACTTTTGTAACTTAAAAATTTGTTAAAAATGTTATTAATTTTGATAAATATTGATAATCGATTACTCGACTAACATTAAATTTTGAAAATCGCTTTAAAAAAAGATTTTATATTATGTAATCGATCGTTTGGCAAATTAGACAAATTTCTGGATGAAATGAAATATGAAATAATGATTTGACAATTGCTTTAAGACTTGTATATGAGTGTCTGTTAAATAATCAGATTAAAAATTTAAATACTAACCAATTTTCAAAACTGCTTGACCACTCTTATTTACAACAATAGAATTATTATCTATTGCTCCAGGAGGCTGCGTCTCCTTGCTTTTTACAAAACTCTGCCACTGTCTAAACCAAGTCGTAGACAGTGCATAAAATGCTGTTGGATTATCTGGTATATTTAAAATATTGTACATTTCTAATTCATGGAGTCGGCGTTTCTCCAATGCCTCGTATTTCTCTTCGCAAATTGAACATTCGTATAATTGTGTGCAAACTGGTCCACCGCTAAATCTGTTGATATGAGGCAAATTTCGTTTGTCAATTTTACTTTCCACTGCTTACTCATACCACTTGAACCTCAAATTATTTTGTTAATATTTTTTAACGCGCACTTAAGTTTGAATTATTAAGTCGACTTAATTACTATTATGGATACTATTTTATGAAATAATTAATATTGTCAGGAACCAAATTATTTGATGAAATTGTACATTGTACGCAAACTAGACACATAAGATTCATGAAGAGGAGATGAGGTTTTTATAACGCTCAATTATTTTTTTTATAAAATTGTAATAAATTCTTTTAGAATGATTTTTTTCAATAGTATAAACTTATAGTATTAATAATTGAAAAATTTTATAATTCCTAGAGCATCGTTAAATTCACTTTCAACATTAATTATGATGTAAAAGATATTGGTCGCAGAATATAGAATAAAAGAATCTCCATTGTGAATATTAGCTATAACTAATTATTTATAGCTATCCTCGGACTCGTATGGTAATAAAAAAGAAGGACGAATTAATTAATTAATAAGAATTCATTTAAATTCATTAAAAAAAAATTAATTCATAACGTAAGAAATGAAAAAAATTAATTAATTGAACAGAACGTACGTCATATTCTAAGATTAATTGATATTTACAAAATATATAATGTTAAACATTTTTTCACTTTATTTTTTATCCTGGATGCATTAAGCTAACGTTTATTAAAAAAAAAATAAAAAAAAAAAAATAAAAAAAAAAATGGATGAAAGCAAAAAGAACGAAAAATCAAGCGAAAGTAACTAACTTTTTGAATAAAAATTCCCAAATTGGTCGCTCGATAGGTCTACTAATCTTCTTGATGAACTTTGATCTCGCAGGGTCGACGCCACCGTGTTGGCACAAAAACTCTGAATTATCAATTGGTCCTGGCTCGGCAAAGGTATTGAATCGATTGATCCACTGGGTCGAGATGAAGAAATTTAAATCCGAGGCCTCCTTCGAGGGCGTATCCATGAGCTCGACAATTTCCTCGCGTAGTTGCATCATGTCCTGCGAGGTCTTCTTGTAAAAAAGGACATAAGCTCCGCAATTTTTGACATCCTCGGGCTTTACGGGAGTGACGCGCTGATCGTCGAACTCGAACCACTGATTCGTCGAGCTGTTCAGGGCGTAGCAGACGTAGTGTCCGCCACCGGCAGTCCCGTGATGGCAGATAACCGATATGAGGCCGTAGGTGGTCACCTTGGATACGCAATCCTCGTGCAGATGGACTCGCATGTCCAGCTCGTCAAGTGGGAAAGACACGTAGCTCGCTATTTTAGAACTGAACATGAGCTCGTGCCGGAACCTCTTGAGATGGATGCACAGCACTTCGGGTAGCTCGAGGACCTTGGAGAATTTCGTGCCGTTACGCAGTTTATTGCACTTCTCGCAGCTGTACATGTTGTCGCCTTTGAGCTCGTCCGTGCTGAAGAAGGCCGACAGGCAGTCGTCGAGGCTGACCACCGGGGGCCAAAACCACGAACTTATCCACTGTATGATCCACGAAAACCAGCTTGGCTGATTCGTTACGTAGACGACGTTGGAACAGGGACCGGATTTCTGGGGCGTCAGCGAGCCCTGGCACAGCATGTCAATATGGTCTTTGCTCGGTATGGGCAGGGACAGGTCTTGGAAGGTCTCTATTCGCGTTGATATTCGGTCGCAGGTGAGGCACTGTACGCTACTTAGGAGCTTCCCGTCAAAAATATCGCTGATGATGCTGCGCGTCTTCGTGGGCTTCTTCGTGCGATGCTTAGCCGGTGAGCTTTGGGAGTAGGTAGGCTCGGCCGTACCCTTCTTCACGCCCCGGTTCGAGGATTTACTTATTGGCTTGTCCGCTTGACTGACTTTCGAGTATCTTCTTTTCGTACCTCTTTCGCCGTCGTCGCTCAGCGAACTTTGCTCGCTCACTCCGGAATCGCACGTCTCATATTCAGCGTCCGATTGGCTCGAGCCAGCACCGTCGACTTCTGTTTCGTCATCATCCGAGGAAGCCTCGTCCGAAGTCTTCATTCGCAGCAAATTTTCGCGATCTTCCTCTCTGTTCTCCTTCAATTCTTCGTGAAGCTGGTCCATGAAGCAGCGTAGGAACTCTTGCGTGTCATGTTGGTGATAACCTGTACATATATTCATTAAAGTAATGTTTAAAATAATGTGCTACTTCTCTTTTTCCTTAATTTTATTTAGCTTCGTTAAAATGTCAATAAATATGTCATTTATTGTCATTTATTCAACTTGTTTGCAAATTATGTATAATCATCATTATATGATAAATTTGATTGAATGTTAATATGAACATGCGACAATTTTACGTAACAATATTATTCATTCTATTAGTTTTGACACACGTATTCTTTCTACGGTCAATTTATAGATTATACGTTATGAATTTGTTATGCTTTTCAATAATGCTTTTCAATCGTGTGTATGGTAATTAAAATTTTGAAAACACCACTGCGAATTAACTGCACTTGTATTATAATAATAAGTGATTAATTAAATTTTCTAAGAAATTGCATTGGGTCACTTTTAAAAAACAATGGCTTCAATATTATGTGGGCAATTTGTATTTTCAATAAAAGCTTAAAATATAAGTATGATTAGTAGCTCGATCAAATTATTTTGAAAAGTATTGTTCTATGATAAATGCTAGGAACGAATTGCAATAATTAGCAATAATAGTAATGATGGTAATAATAAAAATTACTTAACAAATTACCTCGAAACATTGGGTAAACTGTTCTTATACCATTTAATACATCGTGTGGTCCAATAAATCCTCTAGTTCCTTTAGACCACATTTCGCTTATAAGATGCAAATAACTCAAACTCAAGGGTGGCTTACGATTTCTACTGAGATAAGTAACCATATGACCACAATTTATAAAAAACTGTGTTAAGGGTGGAACATTTGATAATGCCTGTAGGGCCGAATTCATGTAACAAGTGTTACCAATATTTTGTAAGCCAACTAGTCCACTGGGTCTTCCTGAAAAATCTCTGACGTCATCAGAATCTGTACTATCGGGTAAGTCTTCTGATTTATCGAGAAAAGGATCTCCTCTTTCCCCATGAATTCTATTAACCATATTACTATCATCTATGAATCTACATTTAATTAAAAAATTAAAGTTACATATAGAAGTTATTAATAAATGATGTTTGTTTAAAATAATAATTGTTTGGCTACTAACTCACTACATCATTTTTGTTTTTTTTTTTATAAATTCTCAAATAATTATATTTAATAGTTACCACCTTTGTTACAAAACAAAAGAAATTTTTTTTAAAACTTACTTTTTAATACACTGCCGGTGTGAATCATAATTTTCAGTATTGCTATCCATGTTACCCGAAGCATCTCCTGAAAATTTATTACCAAACGTTTTATGATCATTCATGTTTGGAGACTGCGGTGGAGATGGCATATACATAGTGTGAATCTCCCGCCCACAAAAGTAACACCAAATTTTATTTGTTGATAAATTCATGTATGCCGAGTGTAACGGTAATTCTCTGTTATGAATTTCATGGTGATGCTTGTCACAGCCAACATATCGACATTCGGAATATAAACAAAGCCAAAGATTGGAACTTTTATAATCACAGTCGAAACATTTATCAAAAGTTTCTTTATGAGCGATTACATTTTTAATAATTGACAGATCACCCTGGCTGTCAATATGCAAACAGTTCATTGCAATGAAAGGCATTGGTACTGGTTTTCTAGAAGAATAAAAAAATAAGTACATTTATTTCAAGGTTTGTCCAAGATTTTTTATACTATTTCATAAGCAAATAAAATGTTTACCAACTAAACCTAAGTATATGTAAAATGCTAATAATATATTGATTATGATTTGTTTTTTTTCTGATATTAATGATGATAAATATTAAAAAAATACGATGATTAATAAAACTTATTTTTAAAAATTTAATAATTAATTATATACATGAGATTCAAGACTTCCTCTATAAAATGTACAAGGTGCTTTTACATTAATAAGAAATTAATTTAAAGAAGAATAAGACAATAGTTTTTCCTTTTCTATAATAAGAATCAAAATTTAATCTGCATTAAAGTAATAAATTGTTTGTGGTTAAAATTTTCTTCTAGTATTCTATATTGGAATAGAATATTATTTATTAATTATTATTATTATTATTATTTATGTGTTTTTCATTAATAAGCAATTAAACAAACTGATATAACAATAGAGTTAAAAAATAATTATAGTAATGGAAATAAAATAAGTAATTGTAAAATTGTTAAAAGGAGCTAGAATTAAAGTGAATAAATTTTTCTAATAATTTTTATTGTAATTTAAAAGTGGCGACACATGGTCACATTATTTGATGTATTATAACAAGCTGTTAGAATTTTCAACTTTTCTTATAATATAAAATAATAACAAATCATAGTTAGTATTTTCATTAAATTTCCTTACAATTAAATTACATTTTTGAAGGAGAATTAATTTTTTCAGTAGCATAATTCCATTTAAGATTAATTAATTTATTTTACTGGAAGACTCAAACCTTCATAAACAAAATCTATATATTTTTTAATTTTGCTCAATTTACCTGTTTCTTTATTTTTTACTATACTCCCTGGATAAATTCTATTGTTTGCGACTGCTCGTATGGCTTATGCTTAATACGACGATGTTCTTACACTCTCTCTAGGCTTTTTTTTGTTTTTTCGTTATTCGTCACATTTAAGCTTAATAGGCTCGGACGTTTTTTCATTAGGGTAGCTCCGCTCGTAATAATCTTAAAATATTTTTTCTCGAGTGATATCCTAACCTGCGCGTGTCATTATTTTCATCTTATATTACACATTGCATTTACAAGTCACAAGGACAGTTTTCAGTTACTAGTTATTACATATCGAATAGACATCGGTGGACTTCAAGTACTAATGGTAGCGAAATCCGCTGATCATCAACAAATAGTTTTATTATATGCATACGAACATAAGTACATACACGCATGCATATAACTATTTTTGTAATAACGGAAATATTACTTTAGTATTTTTCCTTTTCAATGTAGGTACCCATGTGCCTTCCACACATCCCCCCCCCCCCCCCCCCCCCCCGCCCCGCC